CTGCTGAGCAAGAAAGTAAGGCAACAGCCTCATGTCAGGCACAGAGCTGTAAAGACTCTCCAAGAAGACTGACCCACAGAACAACCAAGCAGATAAGTACATTCTTATCTCTTAATTTCAAGCAGACATCAATTGGATGTCAATAGCATGCTTTTAAAAGAAAACCACAGGCTCTCCGTGCTTCCTGGTAAAGAGCACAAGGAGCCCTGTGCTGGAAGGGTCTCCACACCAGTGGCAAGTAGGGCACTCGCCCAGCTAACCACAAGCAGAGGCCAAGTCACTTGCCAGAAGTTACCAGTTTCCACAGTTATGGCCACATTTTCATGTAGCTGGTTTCCTTCTCAGCAGTATTTATGACAGAACGTATGGAAGAGGCTCTCATTTTTCACAGCGACTATGCTTAATCACAATGGGTGTTAATGAATGAAAAATTAATAATTAAATAATAATGCCCACCAGGCCATTAACAACTTAGGAGGAAAAGGCAGGAAAGGAACCTTGGCTCTGAGCAGGCAACAGGTATGGAAAGCTCACAAAAGGGAAGGGCAGAGGAGGGAGCAGGCCAAGGATCAAGAATTGCTGTGCAGCAACTGTGAAGGGGCTAGGGCTTAAAGAGTAAAACCCATGCAGGCTCCAAAACACATATATTAGAACTTTGGTGTGCAAAAGGGCATTGGATTTACTTCTGGATGTTTAACAGTGAATTTGCGCCTCCATCAAGTGAGAACACCATGCTTTATCTTGAAAGATAAGGATGATACCATCCTGATAAACTGATCTAAATCTGATGAATCCATGAGAGATCACATGGAGATAGAGAAAGAGGAATCAATAAAGCATTAATAGGTGCTAGAGTTGCCGCCTGTAAATCGATTTGGAATTGTCTGGTGCACTGCTCTTTGTAAAATACACGTTAGTCTGTAATTGTGAACTAGACTAAGTCACAAAGGAATAAGCATCAAGATCCAGGAGCCAAGGACTTGCAGCATGCTCTGAGTGGTATGCAGCTGAAGGAATAAATCAGTTGTGTTACCCTAGCTGAGAAACCAGTGAGGTCTGAGCATTCTCTGACTTCTCTGGTTGCCATCAGCACCTGTACTGCTCCACACTGGCACTTCAGCATGAGCTGGGATGGCAACAAAACCAGAACTCAGACACTGTGGTCAGGCATCTGGTGAAGAGGATTTTGCAAAATCTGCCTATGTCATAGAGGATATCTCAATAAATTGATTCATACATGCTAGAGAAATTCAGCACATGTCCCTCTAGATTACAAAGCTGATTCATTTGGATTTATGCTACAGATTTGGAGTGTGGTGTCTCAGCTAAAGTGTAAGATAGAAGGGAGAAATAGCAACAATGACAAAACAAATTTAAATTCACGCGTCTGTGTGCTTCATCTTTACAAAATCTCCCCCCAGTTCAGTCGCTTTTGCTGAGCGACACCCATACTACCAGCCTGGATACCACAATCCTTCGCTGGAGAAAAAGAGTTTGACACATGGGCTCTATGGGCAAGGGAGAAGAGGTGCCATCACTAGAAAGGCAAACTTCCAGAGCTGCTCTCAGATGATGCAGTCGATCTTACCATCAGGGTGCTGGGACCCTTCATGTCCCTATTCAACACCACCTATTCCTGCAGTCCAGTGGGTGAGTGTTAATGAAGCAGCTGCAGTTTAAGCTGCCCTAGGGATGAGGCAGTTTCTGCATGGTATGTGCCCTGGGAGAGCAATTCCCTGTTGCAGGACAGCTTGTGGTCTGCCAGGTGCTGGCTGCTTACTCCATACCCTTTGCGGAGATCTTGGCTGTAACTTCACCAAACATGTTGATGTGGAACCAGCAAAAATCTGTCACAGTTGCGGGTCAAAAGCTGTCTTTTCTAGCTGCCAGGCTTGCATGGACTGTCTGAGGCCATAAGCCAGGCTCCTTCCATTTTGGCTTTTGGATAGTTTCACTTCATCCTTCAGCTTGCTTTCCCTTGCTCCCTGGCCCTTTCCTCATCCAGAAATCTCCATGCTGAATGTGGTAAGGATTGTTGAAAAAGCTGTTATAAAGCTTATTTGATTTCTCTGCCTTTACCAGAGGCATGTTTTAAAGAAATAATAATTTGAGCTTTCACATTTTTTCCTCATTTCCAGGGGGAGCTGTGACCACAATACAACTACAACACTACAAGCAGTGTTTTGCATCTAAGGAATAGAAGGAATGCTAAATGTGAAAACTGTCTTTCTTCCATGTTAGAGAAAAATAATTTTATTCAAGGAGTCAATATATTTCTAAATAAATAATTGGCTGCAGAAAACCTGCAAGATTTTGTTATCAGTGAAGGAAAAAACAAACACAAGCAACGGGTGAGGGACATTTCTTCCTGAGTCAGCCATGTGGGAAAGGGTTTTGTTGCTCAGGATGAGCCTCCCACTCCTGTTGCATTACCTGTTAAAAGGTTTGGACCTTAAGACCAGTGTGATTTTAGAATGGTTTCAACCTGGCACTCTTGGGGGTACCAAGAGGCTTTGCTGGGATGGGATCACTCAACCTGTGTTAAGGTACCTGTCCCTGGGTATGGTCCTAAGCTAGGTGGTTCCTGATGTGCCAACAGTTGGAGTATCTAGCAATATAAATTCCATCTGGAGGAGGGCACAAGGTCATATGTTTAAGGAGTTCTCCAGGAGTACTGTATGATCTAATGTTGGCATAATGTATAAAATAATTCCCTGTTGTACCTTCTGCTTTTCCCACAGTTCAGGACTGTCCTGCTGTACTGTGAGGGTATTTGGGGCTGGTTTCCAGAGACTTTCGTTAGAGATCAATATTGTCCAGAAAGAGCATCTACAAGAAGACCAGACTACTGGCATGCTCAGCATTGCAGCTCATGCTCAAGCACCCCCACTCTGGGAAGATACAGCCAGGCAGCAGTCATGCCTAGGGAAATGCAGCTGTGGAGCCTCCTTTCTCCTTCCCAGAAGGGACCATGGAGACTGAGATGTGATAAACTTACATTATTAACTATGTTGTTTGATGACAAGACCGTTGGGCTGCAGCCACTACAGGGCTAGGGTACAGGAGAAGAGGGTATGCCACAGACTGCAGATAACCAGCTGGGAAAGACTGTTGGTAGCTGGTAGCTGAAAAACTGTGGTAATTTTGAATCATTGAAAATGTCATTGTTTAACAAAGAAAAACATCTGGTTTTTATCAATTGGACTTACAAGTAAACAAAATCAAATTGTTGTTTATTCTTTACTCTTAAAAAAAAAATCTGCTTGGATACTTTGTTGAGCCTGACTTTAATAATTTTGGAAGAAACAGTAGAACAATTTTGCAGAGCTGTTCTTATTACTCTTTGGATAAAATATGCTAATGTTACTCCAATAGGTCATATATGTAAATGCAAGGGCAGCTGGGAAGTCTTCACTACTAGTATCCTCTATCATGTGAAGTCAGAGAGAAACTCAGGAAGACATAGCTAGAGACAGCAAATCTCTCAAAGAGCTAAAATCCCAACTCAGTTTCAAATTCACTGTGCTGGAAAGAGCTGTAATCTGCTAAAGAAAGCAGATGTACAGAGTCATTCTGGCAGTTACATCTGTCATGCTGCCTCTCCCTCACCCTGCCTTGATAGACCCACTCTTCCTTCTAGGCATACGTGTGCTTTGCTCATAGACAACAAAAATAGGCAAGCACAAACGTCAATCATGTGAAATTTATTCCTTAAGATAGTCCTTCTTTCAGCTCCCTGCGTCACAGTTTTATTGAGTCCTAATGCTCCCTCAGCCTCTAGGGAAAATGCTCTCAGAATTACGGCCAAGTAAGGGGCACGGTCCCTGGGGTCTGGGGTCTGCAGCAGCCACGCAGCTCCCCCCCACCGACACCACGCCTGTGCTCCACAAAGGCAGAAACACATCCTGGTTCTGCACTGCACAGCGTGCTCCTTAGGGATCCCTTCACGTAGCCCGAGGCAGGGGGCTGCTGGGGAGGCCTCCGCCTAGCACCGCATTCGTCGTGCTGCAGGAGGGACTCGGTCATGAGGGGTTCGATTTGGCGTCGGCAGGGGCCGAAGCTCCTCCTGCCCCGCCGCTATCAGGGGCAGCGCTCTGGGTGCTCCGGGGCGCCCGAGCGGGCACGATCTGCGCTCGGGAGAGAAACCCTTACTAAAGCCGGGGTGCACGTCAGGGCTGAGAGTTGTGAAAAGAGAGCCGGCTGCCCCTGCTGCCCCCTCAGAGACAGGTCGAGACTCCGCAACCCCATTTCGGGGGGCCGAGCGCGGCCCCTCCCGGGCCCCACTGCGCCCTCCCGCCGGCAGGCGGCGCCCGCCCGCCGTGTCCTCCTAATGCCGGTGCCAGTACACGCACTACGCCTGCATTTTATGCCCTTAGGGAGCTGGGCGGCTAACCGATCATCAGGCCGTAACGTTGTTTATACATTTTTAAAACAAACACAGGCATCAGCACTCACTGTTTGCAAATTACGTAACTTTTCTACTAATCACCAGTCAACCCCCTCTTTGCGAGTTACATCTCTCCCTTCCCGTGCCAGTTAGTCCGCAGGCGCAGTTTCCCCTCCGTTTGGGTCCAGGTTCCGTTCTGACCACGTGGTCGCGATCGCCCACTGCCGGAACTGCCATTCCCGCACTTCCTGCTCAGTCCTGCTGGCTTCGGTCCTGGTGCTCCATGCAGCCCATCCACCTTGGGATGGTCTTCCCTCTTCCTTAAAACAAAAGACTAGCCAAGCATACGATGCTGAAAACGCAGCTGCTTAAACTTAACTGTCCAGCTACTAGCTGCTGAATAATTTAAAACAAACAAACAAAAAACAAAACAAAACAAAACCCCTCTTCAAATTCTAAGGGGATTCGGTCACCCCCCGCCCCGGCTCTTCCTCGGGTTTCCCGCCGCCTCCCCGTGCCAGGAAGCAGCACCTCCGCAGCCCGCCCGTTCCCTGTACCAGGAGCGCCCTCGGTGAACGTGGCTCCGGCTCCGCCCCCGCCGCGGTCACGGGGCCGCCCCAGCGGCAAAGCGATGGCGGCGCCCAGCGCCGTGTGGCTCGGCGGGGACTCGGTGAGGCGACGGGGGCTCGGCGGTGGGCGGCGGTGCGGGCCTGACCTGACCTGACCTGACCTGACCTGTGTCCCGTCGGCAGGTGGAGTGGGTGCTGTGTCCCTACGACGCCCATCACCGCGTCCCCCGCGCGTCGCTGGAGAGGCACGCGGCGTCCTGCCGGCTCCGCAAGATGGGATACTCCGCCGAGGAGGAGGTGGGAGCCGGGCGCGGGAAGGCGGACGCGGGGCTGGCGCTGCTGCCCTGGGGTACCGCCTGCCTGGCTGGCCTTAACCGAGCCCTCTGGTCCCGCAGGCCGAGATGTACGACTCCAGCTTTTTCTACGAAAAGGCGAAGGTTCCCACCATCGCCATGGGTGAGCGCCAGGGGGGGGGCTTCGGCTGGCGGGGCGTCACACACAGCTAGGGGTGAGGGGAGACCCTGGGAGGGCACGGAGCATGAGGAGACCCCATGGGGCAGAGGCCCTCACGGTAGCACATCCCACTGCCTTGTCAGCTGTAAGCTCTCCAAGGTCTTCTGAAAACCCTGAGCGTTCCCATCAGGAGGTTTATTTTCTCAGATTGTAATTTGTTATTTGCTTCAATTTACCTTCTTCATGCTTCTGTCACTGTATAATTCTACTCCGTATCCCTATAGCCCAGAAATGCTTCTTTCTTCCCCTTTTTTTTTCTGTCCTCATTTCAATGTGGAATACATTAGAATTGTATTTTTAGTTCGGATGTTGCCTTATACATCAGTAAAACTATGATGTTCTGTACCATACCATAACTCTCATGATAGAGTTTGGGGAATAAAGACTGACATGATCAAGTGCTCAAGAATTTGAGGTGAAGGTTGATTTTTTTTTTCTCTGCCTGTAGATAAAGATCTACAGTTTCACATTGTTAAGCAGGCTAGAGCTCAAAGCACCAAGGAAGGCACAGGCTTCAGTGAAGGTAAGTAGTAAGCAGATACTGAGACAACAAGAGCTGCTGTTGTGTCCCTCCTTGTAGCTTCCTTCATTCCACTATGAACTGCTGTGAGGAATTTAATTTTATTTATTTTTAGTACTCCTTCCCTTGTGTACCTTGGAGTATAACTGCTTTCCATCTTTGGGCTAGATGGATAGGAGATAAAGAGAATTTGAGTCTGTTGTGCTCACACCTCTAGTTATCTTCAGGACTGTAAAATCAACACTGCAAAATTCAGGAGTTTCTTAAAGGATTAGTCCTTTGCTCTCATCCCACTACCTATGCTTTACTTTCTGCCTGCATTTCCTTCTGTTCCTTGTGGCCCAGTCTCTTCTAATGGTGCCTCCAGCCTTGTTCTTCATGTAACATTTTGTTTAGGGATTAATTGGTAGATGTGAGCCGTGTGGGCTTGTCCACAGATCTGGCCGCTCCTCAGATCAAAAAGCAAAAAACAACATGCATAGGTTGGACTGTTTCAAGACTGCCCTAAGAAGCTGTATAAGAACTATGCTGACACATCTGCAAATGTGATGTTGTCCTTTGCCACCTCTCCAAGCTCTTTAGTTCCTTTACATTTTATTTTTTGGTGGGTTTTGTGACTAGCCTGGGGACCAGCTTAAGACTTAGAGAGTCTTCAAGAGTTCAGGCCAAGACAAAGCAGAGAAGTAAGGCTACCTACAGAAACTGTAGAGCTGCAGTGTATGGTTGAGAAATTACTGCAACACCTAAAAAAAATAAATCATTTCCTCTCTGTAGACTTTAGTTTGTTAAAGGAAAAGTGCATTTGTTCAGCTTTCCTGACAGGGAAATACAGCAATGCTTGCTCAGGCATAGTCTTTCATCTTGTCTTTGTTTCTCTGGCATAGCAAATGGCTTAATGGACGGTTGCCTGGGAAGGAGCTTTCGTGGGATGGGCACTGTATTTGGAGCACACCGGGTGCATTTCCTCTGGAGGGAAATGGTAGCTCATTAATTTGACACAAACACATCCAACTAGAGAACAGACAGGCCCTCTGTGAAGTGGTTCATTGCAAAGATACACCAGTGAGCCACTAGATGCCAGTGTTTGCTGTCCCGTTTTCTCTGCAAGCTTGCTTTT